AACTTTTGAATGAAAATACATTGATAGTCTTGATACTGCGTTATTTTTTTTTTAAAGTTAAACTTTTCTGGAAATGAGTGGAACCTCCCTGATTCTTATATTCTATCTTCTAGGTAGTTGGTCCTTATTTTCACCAGCAGACTCTATGGAAAGCAAAGGTTGGGAGAGGGAAGAGAAGAGAGGAGTGGACTAGGAAGGAAAAACAAATCTGAACAAATATAACAGTGGTCTCCCCATACATTTCAACAATACCGATAGCAACAATACCAACAGCAGCTAAAATGCAGTGAATATTTGCTATAGGAGCTCTTCTATGTAATATATTCTCTCATTTAATCATTGCAAAACTCCTCTTAACAAGTCTTTCATAGATGGGGACGTGGAGATCTGGATTAAGAGATTTACCCAGGATCACATAGCTTACTATGTCATCAGGGTTGGAACTGAAACTCCAAAAATCTGTTCCAGAATCCACATTCATAATTGCTGATAACTACTGCCTGAAAGTGGCTCAATACAATCAGGCAAACTATCTTCATAAGGTAGCGTAAAATATAACAGAAACACTTTCAACTAGGAAAAAAACTTCCCAATGCATAAGACTCTGTGGTCATATTTGGTTTTACAAGATCAGCATATAAAAGGTACCACTTCTTTCTCTATGTTATCCCTATAAAACCTACTAAAGGCTATCAAGTAAGGAGGGAGACCTAAATAATCTCTCGCAAAAGAGAAAAGAGAAAAACAATACAAGATTCACAGTTCTACATAAAAATGGACCACATATAAATATACACAGAACAAGAAAAAATATACTTAAGTTTGTTTCAAGCTTTCCTGGTTATACCTAAACTGGTATAAATCACTTCTTATCAAAACCATAACTTTCTTTTCTATTCTCAAGAAAACTCTTAAACTCTATGTCACCAGTAATACTTCCAGACTTTGAAATATCTCGGTCCCCATCCTCTCAAGTAGTTAAAATGAACACAGCTCTTATGAAAATTTTGCTTATATTAGCCAAAAGTATAATGTTACACTGTATAAACTAGGGTTATGAACCAGCCGCATTTACATCCTTACTGGGATCAAACTTACTTCCTCTGAACATTTTTCAGTCATTCAAAAATAAGAGAATAGTACATACATATCTTTTTAAAGGCCTGGAGCTTTCTTTTACAAGACCATTGAGTTACATGACCAACTTGAATGGTGCATTAAATTCAGAATTTGTGCTACTACAGTGCTTGTCCTGAAACTTCATCTGGCACAGAGAAAGATGATGACCAAAGGAAACCTCAGCGCCAGAGGTTCATAACAGATATTATTGTTGACAGTCAGACTTGGGAGAGAAAATGAAGTATGAGCAGAAAGATAGCTCCAGGGATGTTTTTCCTGCTCTGAGGTCCACTTAAATTTACAGAAATTACTTTTTCTGATACAGTGAGAGAGGGGAAGGAGGCGGTTTAAAATGGTTAAGAGTAGTAGAACAAACTTATTCCCCCCTTTGTTGGGATCATTCAATTATGCATACTATGTCATGTGATTAGCTGTTGAGCTATCCATGGAATACTATGAGTGACTGCCCTTCAACAATGCTCCAAGGAAAAATCTTCATCCTCTACTCTCAAGACTTTTACTTTTGCCTCTAAGAGAGAGACAGAGTGCATATATGTCTTTTAAAATCTACCACTGCTACATATGTACACCCACGTGGATAGGATTATGTCATGTATATGCTTATATGAGAACTCAAAAGCAGGGAAAAGGTTATTCTTGTTTTTCTTTTGGAAAACAGTAAAGCAAGGTGACATCCGAGATTTAGAAGCCCTGTGCAAGAATAAGTCTGCAAAGGAGTGAAAATTAGGAGCACAATCTTTGCCTCTTGGTCCCTATCAGCAACCCCCTGACTGCCACCACTTCTGACATTGCCACAACCCTCAGGTTGGATTTGATGACTTTCTCACCCTATTACCCCAGCTTCACAGAAAACCAGACACACACGTGCACTCCTGTGTAAGTTCTTTACTGTTTCATAAAAGGGATTATATGTTTTCTGAGAATTTTTTAACACCTCTAAAATAAATGAAGAACTAAAGGATAGTGCAAAAGAATGCCTGAGAATCCTTCTAAGAATCAAAAGGTTAACATCTATACAAAGAAGCCAGCACACAAGGGCTTTTCAGATGAAGTCCCCGGATGGTCACAAAGTGTAGGTCTGCATCTGTACTCCAACTTGCACCTAGGACAACCATTTCCTGTTGCCATGGGTTACAAGAATGAGTTACTTGGAGCTCTCCAGACAACTTCAGAGACATGTATAGCACTTTCAGAATTAACTAAACATAATCTTGGCAATTAGCAATGTTAACCAATTCAGTTCTGATATTTTAATATCAGATCATAAATATTTATTAGCCCTCCTACATGAAAATAGGAACTTGGAGCAAGTAAACTTGAGGGATTTTTCTTTTTGCAAAACATACAGTTCATCGTCATCAACCTTTCCTTCAGTGATCCATATAGAGATACAAGTAGGGAGGGGCAGTTTCAGAATCAACGTGCTATAAGTAAGGGTAGTTTAGGACTTGTCACCACTGCACCTTTTAAACTCAAATCACAGGACACTCAAAGCAGTCTTTTTTCATCATGTGTATACACATAATGAGGAGCAGTCACAGCAAAATATTAAGTGACCAAAAGGTCATTACATATCTTAATCCAATAAGAAAAATGAACACTTTATTGCCCCTACAATTAATTGTGCATTCAAATTGCACTCAGTCTGCCACGAGCATCTTGTTCGTGTGTCATAAGAAACCCATTAGGCAAACACCAAAATTCAAAATCACATTAAAAAAATAAATAAATAAATAACAATTTAGGGCCATTATCATTATTACTATCTCTGTTCATCAGAAAGAACATGTAAGAAAAGCATGCTTTTGGGATTTTACTGGCAAAGCCTTTATTAAGTCTTTTGTAAATAGTCATCTCAACTGGCTAAATATGACCTCTGGTATAAACAGTATTAGGTGCAGAGTTAAGAAAATGAAATACATTTAAAATGTTCAGTTTCTTAATTGGCTAAAAACAAAGACAACAGTGTGAAATGGCATAGCAATTATCTTTCTCTTGGTTTGGGCATATATATTTTCCACTATATCCTTGATCTCTCTTCTTCCCAATGCATTTTCTGCTGCCAGATTTCTTTATCCTATATTAATAGTTGTATTTAACGACAAACATGCAGACAAAGGAAAGGAGGCAAAGGGAGCTCTCTGAAACGGAGACCTTTTCTATATAAACTATGTACATCCCTGAAGGACTGGAAGAGCAGCATTGATTGGTATCATCTTCACATGGGAAATGTTTTGACCTCATGACAACTTGAGAGCATAACTAGATTTAAGAAATTGAATCTTAAAAATAATCCACATAAATCCTATTTTGGTTAAATATAAGTCATCCCTTTGCTTTTTTCCCTTCTTTGTTTTCTTATGAGATAGGCATATATTTCAAACAATAAATAAAACCATAATGAAGAAACATCTCAATATAAACAAGGCAGAATAGGTTCTAAACTCAAGTGGATCCTTTTTAAAATGCCAAGTACTCTACCTACCTAATATAGTTGTACATGTGCTAAGAGCCAAAGATAAAAAGCCTGGCTTTACTGTATTTTCACATCTTTAATCTCAAAGTCTAGTTATCTCACAGAAGAGTTGCCGAGCATTTTCTGTCCTTTGGCAGGGTCCGCCTGGCCCAGCTGGTTTTCTTAGCACTTTGTATCAGATGCTGCCTCTTCAGCCACCTTGGACTTTGGGGAGCAAGCATCTGAATCTTAATTATGTCCTACTCATTGCAATGATTGCCTAGTGCAAAACCGAATGATACTCAGAGAGAAGATAATTAAGATAATAGGAGTTGCATGTTCCTCATAAACTGAAGGGGGAAGACAAAGCTGTCCCCCAAGTTCCCTAAAATTAAATGCAAAAGAGGGGGGAAGAGTACAGCAGTAATTGAAGGGGGAAGTTTCTCTAGAATAAGACCACATGTTTTTTAAGATACATTTATTTATACCCATGGCTTATTTGGATTTAAAACATATGCAGCCCTTACAATACATGTCATACTTGGAGCTGTAGAACTCTGATTCTGACAGACAGACACCTAGCTTAGAATGCATTTCAGCAGAATCCAGGAAGATCAATAGACTCAGGAAACAAACATGTTGATGGATGAGGATGGGTATGAAAACGACCAGGTTGAGGTGGTCACGCTGCAGGCTTCACAGCTATTCCCATGTTAGCAGAACGGAAGGGCTACAAAGGATTCCTCTTTTTTATAAAAGGCAAAGGAAAGGAGGAAATCATGGGAAGGAAAAGAAGAGAATGGAGCTAGTGCGGATGGTGAGGAAAGGAAGAAAGAAACGGAAATGGGGAAAGAGAAAGAGAAATCCGAAGAGGGGCGGGGAGTAGGAAGGAACGCTGTGATGCATGGACGCTCGCCAGCACCCAGCCAAGCACCCCATCACCCAAGCCTGCATCCCTCGCTCGCCGGTCTGGGCCTGGCGGGGCTCCCCGGCGCTGACAGCCCACCCGCGTCCCCGTCCAGGCAAGGCGCTGAGCCCAAAGTAGCCACGGCAGCCAGCCCCTCCGCGCCGCCACTCCCTGGCCCGCGCTCGCCACCCGGCCCCGACTTCTGTCGGCGCCCGCATCGCTAGTCTCAGGGAAGAAGCCGGGAGGAGCAGAGCGCAGCTCAGGGGCCGGAAAATCAAAAAGGAGAGAAAGGGAGGGAGGCAACCCCCAAAAAGATTTTTGTAATAATCTGGTAGTAGATCCCGGGGAAGAGCACGGGAGGGGACCCGAGGCGAGCACCTGGGAAGGAGCACGCTGTTGCAAATACCCAGGCTCCGCAAGCTGGGCGATTTTCCACAAAAGGAACTTTGCAAGGAGCGCGGCGGCTTGCCACGGGAGAGAAGGCGATCGCAGCGTTACCTGGCTGAGGTCATGCCCGCGGGCCGCCGAAATCCTCAGGTTTGCGAAATTGAGCCACTTGATCAGGTTACTATGGAAATCGTCTTAAGGAGAGAAGGGGAATAAGGCGACCCAGGCACATCCTTGTCACAGCGAAGGAAACTGCTGGGGCCGCCGAGCCTGGGCGCGGGACCGGGCGCGGCAGCTCTCCGGCGCGGGGCTCCGTCCTGCTCCTCGGCCCGGCCGCGCCTCC